CCCCCCCCCCCCCCCCCCTATATACAGCACAGGGGCATGGGTGCTGTCCTGGGCCAGCTCACACTCCCGGGGATAGTAGGACATGATGGTGCGGAGATCTGCCATCCTCGCCTTGCAGAGGGGGGCTGGGCTTCACCCACTGTGCCCCCAGGGATAACTGACCACTTTTCTTGTTTCTCCACGGCCACACCAGCTGTGAGTGAAGGGCGCACCATCCCACCCAGGACATCCTCCTGCGCCCAGGCCAGCAGGCTCACCCGGAATCAGGAGGGGTACCAGCGGCAGCACTTGGGGTTACTGCGAAGGCAGGTCCGCAGCCAGGAGCACTGGGTGCATGAAGACCTGCAGCTGCGGTGGGGGAGCTTGTGGGAGCTGCTTGACCAGGGCTGTGCCATCCACGACCACCTGCAGACCTTGGTGCAGAGATTGGTGCCTGCATCCCCTGTGGCCATCCCAGCTATCGCTCCTCCTCCCACTCCTGCTCCCCCTCTCACTTCTTCCTCCCCACTCCCATCTGCCCAACCCTCCATACCCACTTCCCTCCTTCCCCCCCGGGGATGTCGAGGCCCCCGCACCTGCAGTGCTGGAAGACAGGAGGGCCGGCAAGACCCCCAACACTCCCATCTGCCCAACCCTCCATACCCACTTCCCTCCTTCCCCCCCGGGGATGTCGAGGCCCCCGCACCTGCAGTGCTGGAAGACAGGAGGGCCGGCAAGACCCCCAACCCTGAGCTTCTCCTCCCCCTTCCTCCCTTTGCCTCCCCCTTCCAGCTCCCTCCTCCCAGTTTCCCCCTTTCCTCTCCCACCCTCATTCCAGCCCCCACCCACCATCCCAGTTATGCTCAATAAAGAGAGTTTGTTTTTGGCAACACATATATGTTTTTATTTGACATTGGGAAGGGGGGTTAGGGAGGGGAAAGTGGAAGGACGTGAGGGTGGAATAAGGCACAAGGCCGCAGTGGGGCACCCCAGGGAGACTTCACTCCTCCTCCGTCAGGAAGCTCTCCCTCAGGACCTCCCGGATACTGACAGCCCCCCGATGGGTCTCCTGGCTGGCAGCTGTGCGGGGCTGTGCATACAGGCCAGCCAAGTGGTTGGCCTTTGCCATCCAGGCTGGCAGGAAAGCCTCCCCCTTCCGCTCACACAAAATGTGCAGTACACAGCACGCTGCCACCACGTGCAGAATATTCCACTTGGAGAGGTCCAGGCAGGTGAGGAGGCATCTAAATCGGGCCTTCAGCCGACCAAGGGCACCCTCTACCATGATGAGGGCCCTGCTGTGCCTCGCATTAAAGGCCTGTTGGAAGGGGTTGAAGTGTCCCGTATAGGGCTTCATGAGCAAGGGCTGTAGGAGGTAGGCCGCATCCCCCACCAGGCGCACAGGCATGTCCACGTTCCCCGACCCTGATGTGGCGGTCGGGGAAGAAGGTCCTGGCTTGCAGCCTTTGGCACATTGAGGAGTTGCGGTAAGCCCACGTGTCGTGTGCTTTGCCGGACCAGCCCAGCCCGCATTTATGTCCACAAACTGGCCCCAGCAGTCAGACACAGCTTGTAGGATGATGGAAAAGTATCCCTTCTGGTTGATGTACAGGGAGGCCTCGTGTTCCGGGGCTCAGATGGGGATGTGCGTCCGTCGATTGCCCCTCCACACACAATTGGGGAAGCCCAGGGCGATCACCGCGTCCAAATCAGTGAGGTGGATGACTCTGCAGAGCAGCACTCTATTGATGGCCTTGACCCACCTGCAGAGGGAGACACAAAACCGAGAGTCACTGGGGTGCCAGGGTGGCTGAAAGTGCTCCTTCCCCGCCACTGCCCCACACCCCCACTCCTCAGGAGCAACCCCCCTGCAATCCTGGCCACCACAGGCAGTCCGTAGTGTGGATGGGATAGAACAAACCCTCTCGGGGAGGGGATTTGTACCACCTCCCTCCCCCCTTTTCCCTAGGGCAGCCTATCCCCTCGTCGCACCCGTCCCCCCTTCCTGGCACAGTGGCTGGAGATTGCCATACCTGCATGAGCACTGCTCCGATGGTGGATCTCCCCACGCCGAACTGGTTCACCACAGATCTGTAGCTATCAGGCGTGGAGAGCTTCCAGAGGGCGATGTGTAGCCGTGTGGCACGGGGTTCGAACTAGCCGGCATTTAAAAATGGCGCTGGCCAGCTTCATGCAAATGAAGCCCGGGAAATTCAAATCCCGGGCTTCATTTGCAATTGCGGATGACTACATTACCCCCGCTAGTTTGAACTAGCGGGGTAGTGTAGACATACCCTCAGAGAACTTGAGGAAGGTGTCTTTCTTCATCCTGAAGTTCTGGGTCCATTGTTGGTCTCCCCAGCGCTCCAGGACGATGTGGTCCCACCAATCGCTGCTGGTGTCCAGATGTGGCGGGACACGCTGGCGTCCGGGCGCTGATTCTGCTCCTCCACGGCCCCTAGGGGGGTCCGGAAGAGGACCTGGAGGTTGGGCTGTAGCAGACGCTGCCAGGCAGTCTCCAGCAATTGCAGCCAGGCTTGCAGCAAGACATCCAAAATGAGCTACAGAGTGCCTAGGGGCAGCTCTGGCTCCATGGTGCTGTGTACTGTGGTTTCCCAAGTCAGGGCAACTAAAGTACGTAGAGACAAAAATGCTTTACTGTCCCTCAGTGAGGTAGGCAAGCAAGCAGGGAAAGCTGAGAACCGGCTGTCGGGGGGGGACGGTCCCTTTAAGCACAAGCCTCAGATAGCTTCAGGCAGCAGCCACACAAAGCAACTACTGACCTGATGCCCTGCTGGAACCAGTTTCAGCTGGCTTTAAATGCAATTCAGCGTCCAATCAGTGTGGACGTGCTATTTTGAAATAGCAAAACACTATTTTGAAATGTATTTTGTGTGTAGATGCGTTATTTCAAAATAACTTATTTCAAATTAACTATTTCGAAATAAGATATTTCGAAATAATGCTGTAGTGTAGACATACCCTAATTTTCTGTATATCATCTTCCAGCTCAATTCAAGGCACAAGATAACTAATCCATATTAGCTATTCCACTGCAGTTTTATGACAAGGTATACTAGGCGAGTTCACCAGGGTTGGAAGGTTTAAGGCTGGCCTTACTTTACCTGTCAGTTCTTATCTCCCTTTAGGACTTTACTGTACAATCAGTGTTGTAGGTTAGCTGTCTCATTGTAAAAAAACAACCCCCCCCCCTTTGTTAGCAAAGATAAAGCCTCAGTGCTGATACCGTCACTATGCTTTACTTGTCCAAGGGGAACCACAGGTGTCTTATGCACAGTGCGCTATCTTCCTCTGCTGCTAGAGGATATCTTACCTGCAAACATTTTGTTGTTAATTTTTAAAAATCAGGTTTTGTTTGAAAGCTAAACTAAGCTAATTTATTTTGTATTATTTACCACTTTTTTTTTTCTCCAAGATCCCAAATGCCCAGGGGATGTAGATCTCCAGAACAGCGACTGGGACATGAAGACAATTACCAGTTCATTGAAATTCTACCTTAGGTAATCCTTCAAGACCATTGTCTTATTTTTGAGGTTCCCAGGCAGGGATGAAACTCTTTGGGGGACGAATGTGTCTTCTCTTTGGAAACGTGTCTGCTATAAAACCTTCACATGCATTTAGAGAAGCTATGTAAATCAAAGAGGCTAGGATGGAGTGCCAGTAGGGCAGTCTCAAGAATCCATGGGAATTGGAGTGGAAAATATGACTTTCCTTTCTATTCTTCTTCCAATGTAATTGAGAACAGAGTCGGAGCTGCTTCTCTGTTCTTTGAGGATTTCAGTGTTGTTTCTGTTTGTTTCAGGAATCTAGCTGAACCCGTCATGACATACAAACTCCATAAAGAGCTGGTCTCAGCTGCTAGTAAGTGCCAACAGCTTCATTACTGATTTAGGCCCCATGCCCCTCTCCTGTATAAGAATGTAATTTATCTTTGTATTGCTCCACTAGTGCAACATACTGCTGAGTATGTGTCACATGTGGAGTTCCAGTTCAAGTGAGACATTGTAGACAGGTTACAGATCCCTGATGACAAGCAACGTGGCCTTGCACTGTATGGGATCCAACAGAGGCTGTTGTCATTGCAGCCAGCCATCTCCATCTGAGACTGGGTAGAGAAAGAAAATCTGATAATTCACTTACTGGGTTGCTAAATCATAAGAAAGTCTCTGTGCCTCACTGAATGGCAGCTTAGAGTTCAGTACTGCCACGGGATTGGAGGGTACTCAACATTTGCAGGATCATGTCCCTTATTCATTTTACTATATGTGGGCTATATCCACACTGGGAATAAATTGGAAAAGCCTCATTAGACCTATGCTGATTTATACCAGGTGAGGTTCTGGCCCATTGTACTTATAATAGAGCCTCACTCCTGCTTCTGATTTCTTAGTTTGTTTGAAATCCATTTCTTCCCCATCATTCAGGCCTATCCATGGATGTGGATATCTGCAGTTCATTTTTGCATTGCAGATGAGGATGCAGATACATGTTTTGTTTCAAGAATCCTGCAAAATTGTGTATATCCGTTTTGTATTTGCATGTATCTTCAGCCGCAGATGTGGATGTGGATTTCTGTGGCTCATTTTTGCAAATACAGATGCAGACCCAAAAATTTGTATCCATGCAGGGCTCTACCTGTCATCCTTTGTATTAGTGTATTTCTGTGTGCTTGGGTTAGGTTCCCTTCAGAGACACTCATGGTGGGTCATGGAGTAAGGGGATCTTTTAAAATATTTATTGTTTGTCTTCATAATATGTATAAAAAGTGAATTGGCCCAGTTGTGCAAGCAGGATCATTTCCCAACAGTTTTTTTTTTCCAATTGTAAATAGAGATATGATGTGACAGCCCCAATGGCCATGCAGTGTCTCAAATGTCCTTCTTTGGCACTGAAGTTTGTCCTGGAATGATGAACCCATAATACTTTAAAGTATGCAAAATGCATTTTTCTGATGGAGCGCTTAGTGCTAAGTATCAGGCCAAACTGACAAAGGTCAGTCAAGTAGCGCAAGTATGTTAACAGGGCATATTCTGAGCTCACACACATTTAAAACTGGGCTCTTCATCAGTCCTGCTAAAATCTCTCTCTGAAATGATCTTTAATAATGTTAAAGTAGCTGCACCCTAATAATTACATCTAGCATACTTGCAGAGATAGGGAGTGTGTGCATGCAGTTACTTTACCAACTTTCCTCATGAAAGAGAAGATGGTGTTTAAAGTCTACTATTTCTGGGAAAAAACATTGCTGGCTCAACCCTGAGGTGGTGAGCACCTGCAGCTCCATGGAACTGCAGCTTGGCACCTCCTTGGCTTTAGCCCTTAGAAAGTTAATAATGCTCCTTGTTCTGCTAAAGAAAAATTCTCCTCCTCCAGATGACTGTGCTCAAACTCAAGAGTTACTAAATTTCTGTCTTATTGTACCAATTACAGCTGGGTGGATGGAAATATTAACCCTTCCTTCAAAAAGTTCACCTTGTCTGTGAGCTTTTCCAGCTTTAATGCTCATGCACTGTTCTGCACGTATGGTGCATGTTGTTGTTCCAGACAGGTTTGTGCCTCTTGAAGACTGCATGTTTTTTGCATCAGGGACTCTTATTAATCTGGTACATTTTACCCAAAGGTACAGTACTCAGTACCTATGCTGCTAACAGCCTCACCAGAGGGGACTGAAATGTTCGCTTGGCCCTGGAATTGCTTTTGCTAGATCTGGGTTGAGGTACGTCTGGTCAGTGTGCGAGGGAAGCAGCTGCTCTTGCTGGGTCAGTTCTGTACAGGCAGCACATTTCAGCAGCACTAGATTCAGTTGAAAAATCCTACTCTGAGCCCCTTTTGACTTGAATTTTCTCTTCTCTTCACTTCATTTCTCAGGATAACCTTGCTGCGGTGTAATCTCACTCCTTCCAGGTTACTCTTCTTTGGTTTTAGCAGGCTACCCCCACACCTGAGCAAATAACACAGATTTTTTTTTCAAGCAGTAGGCAAAAAACTCTTTTCTTGTTTCTTTCCAGAGTCTGAGAATCTGGATTACAGGCTGGGAGCCATTCACTCTCTGGTTTATAAACTACCTGAGAAGAATAGAGAGATGTTGGAACTCCTCATACGACACCTGGTGAAGTAAGCAAAATTCAGTAACTATTCCTCTTAAAACAATGAGGGAGAAAAAGGGAGTTGGAGAAGCCAGCTTGTTTCTCTGACAGATTAATTAAGCCTCAATAACTATTTTACAGCTGGGAATTTACTGCCCAAATTATCCCTTCCCTGGTACCTCCTTTATGTAATTGATGTTCCTCTGTCTACCTGCGACTTCCAACCAGAGGCTACTTCATGAGAAGCACCTAGCAGAGAATAATTTTTATATGACGATATGGTCTAGCAGACCAGAGCTATAAGCCTAGTGTCTGGCCAGCCCAATTAGCAACCGCATTCTGTCTGGAATTCTGGAGTAGTTTTAAGACCCCTGTTTCCTAGAACTGGAAGTTAAGCACACACTGGATGTGCTTCTCATACTAAGTATTCAAAGTGCTTTGTCCTTTGAGGAGCATTGGTGCTAGACACTTTAGCCTTCAAGCCCTCCATAATCCTTTTTAGGAGCTGATTTCTCTGAGATGCTGGATACCTGTGGCTCTGTTCATGATGGCCAACAGACTTGCCAGGCCCCTAGACAAGGGTGGGGGGCTTGGAGTTGGGTGAAAAAGGTGGGGCTGGGGCTAGCCTCCCCTAGCCAGCTTTGGAGTGCACTGCCTAGGGCTCTGGCAGCGAATTAAAGAGCCCATGAATCTGGCCACCACTGCTGCCTGAGTAGCAGCAGCAGCTGGGAGCCCCAGGTCCTTTTAAATTGCCAGGCTCCAGGACAGCTGCCCTCTTGGCTTTCCCTTTCCCTCCCATTGGTGGCCCTCTCTGTCTCGATCCATGAGTATGAAGGCACTTGAATTGCTTTGAGAAGAGGATTTGTCTTCCCGCCCTCCTTTCACACTAAACGTGAGGATGCACCTACTATTCCCATCCCACATGGGAGTTATGTAGAGAGTCGCCTCCTGGCGGGTGCTTATTGTGCCAGCCATGCAGAAGCTCAAGGGAGGGAAGATGATGGAGTTCTGGTCAGTAACAGATATGGTCTGGAGAGGGACTGGCCTCCAGATTGAAAGGATGTACTTTGGCCAAACTGGAAGAGTCCCTTCCAAAATGTGACATTATACAACTGATTTGGGTTGGTAAAACCACACTGTGCAGGGATTTATTTTACAGCCCCAAAGGGAGATTTGGACCTTGGCACCATTTGGTCTTAACCTTTCTATTTCAGGAGCAAGCAGCCTGAATGCACAGTCCTGGTATGGACTTGTCACTAGCTGTTGGCAGACATGACATTTTTTAAAAGCCTCTGCATAAGGGGCAAGATTTCCCTCTTTTTAGGCATCGTTTATAGTCAGACTGAACCCATTATGGGTCTTTTGTTGCCTACACTGAGTTTTGCTCTGATGGCCTATTCCCCACCTAGTCTATGCTGGCAGAAATTCCATCAATGCCAATAGGAGACAGAAGTAAAATTCAGAGCTCTGCATCAGAATTTCTCTGCTCCCAGCCCCTCTAAGTTCAGACTCCAATTCTATATCCAGATACTTTGTAGACTCTTTCTTGCTTCTCTTATAAATCATTCCACAGTTGGTGCTCTTCAATGGGGCTGCTTGTGGCACTGAAATCTAAACAGAGTTACATAAATAGCACTGTTTCCTGAAAGCCATAACAGAAAAATGACACCATAGAGATCTCTCTGAAATCTTCCCAAGATTCCATCCTTATACTTCTTTGGGAAAAAAATCTCAATGCATATCTTGGTGAAATAAATCATTCCAAAATAAATGGTTCACTTAACATGCATGTGTCACAGACAGCTAATGATTCCTGGGTAGTGATCCTCCTAAAAGAAGAGCCAGAAGTTTGAAGGGATCGAATAACAATGCCAGGACATCACATCCTCAGGCTTTCTGCAATGCCAAAGAATGTGCTTGTCATAGCCAGATCTATGTTTTATGACCAGCTTCATGGGCACTGGAAAACAAGTTCTGCTTTAGCAATATGGAGGAAATTAAATTAATTAATCTTGAAGTTTTTAAATGGTCTTTCCCATTGTCCCCTAATCTCTTTTTCTTTTCTTTTCTTCCATCCATGCCAACAGCGTGTGTGGACACAGCAGAGAGAATCTGATGTCCCCATCCAACATGGGGGTTATATTTGGTCCCACCCTTATGCGGGCACAGGAGGACACAGTAGCAGCAATGATGAATATCAAGTTCCAGAACATTGTCGTTGAGATCCTCATCGAGCACTTCGATAAGGTATGGAGCCAGTACTTAAGAGCTTGCCTCAAAAACTTACCACTGCTCCATCATTGTGCCCTGGTGGATCATTTTGCTGTATGGTCTAAAACACTGGTTTCTTTTCTGGATTCCCCTTATGGTTTTAATTGCACTAGTCTGAGATGCACAAAGTGGAAGCCAAAGCCGTAACAGTGAGATGTTTAGTGGATTTTATCCACAAAAGCGTACGATAGTATATATTTTTGTTAGTCTCTAAGGGTGCGTCTACACAGCAGGGCTTGACTTGAAATAAGCTACACAAATTGAGCTACATCAATTGCGTAGCTTATTTCGAGTTTTGGTGCGGTCTACACAGCACTTATTTCAAAACAGAGCACTCTTCCTCAGACTTCCCTTACTCCTCATACAATGAGGGTTACAAGAGTCAGAGTAAGAAGTCCTCCAGCTTGACAGTATTTAGACATTGTCAGAATAACTGCCAGCTGTGTAGATGTGGACAATGTTATTTCAAAATAATGCTAGTTATTTTGAAATAATGTTGCTGTTTAGACGTAGCCCCAGATGCCAAAAGTCTGCTTGTTGTTTTTAAAGTTACAGACCAACACAGCTACCCCTCTGAGACAATTTATTTTGGTTATTTAATAAAGTCTTGATTTTCTTAAGGGGCTGCATTACATTAACGGAAGAAACTTCCCCACTGGGAACTAGCTATATATCTGTACAGTACAGTTTTCTTCATCTTCCTCTGAATCAACTGGTATTGACAGAGAACAGGAAACCAAACTGGGAGGACAATAGGTTTCATCTGGCCTGGTCCAAAACACGTCACTGTAGAACTACCCTGAAGTGAAGTCTCTCTTAAGTAACTTTCTAAAGAATCAATACAAACAAGTTGCCTTTTGGAAAGGGATCTCGTTAAATAGAAATTGAAGAAAACCACGTGTGGTGATGTTTCAAAGTGATTGCTTGACAGACAGCTGCCAGTGGAAGGGGAGTCTTGAGTGCAAGTTTTTGCATACAACTGGTACATTTGAGTTCTATATAGAGCAATGTTTCCCAATTTATTTGGCCACGGAACCCTTTTAAACTCAAAAGAATTTTGTGGAACCCCTAATAGCAGTCATATATATATATATAGCTGAAAAAGTAGACCACAAATAAGTAAGGATAATAATAAAGCAATGCTAAACAAGGTCATGAGATCAACACAAATGAAAACTGTTTTCAATAACATTCATAAATGCTTAATATTAATTATTATTATTTTTAATAACAACATGTTATTGTAATGGAATTTTCTTGCGGAACCCTTACTTTTACTTCGCGGAACCCTGGGGTTCCCCGGAACACCATTTGGGAAACACTGATATAGAGTAATACTTTGCCATATGATAACCTATGGAGCTCTAAACAGTGGAACTGGCAAAAGGGCTAGCTGCTGAAAATGTCAAGAAAGAGTTAACACTATTATTATTTCATTATGGAGGTGTTGATAGTGTCTCCATATTCAAAATTGAAGTAAGGCTTTCATTTTCTTGCAACCTTAATTGAATATTTGTATTACAGTAGTGGCCAGAAGCTTTAATCAGGGTTGGGAACACCATTATGCCAAATGCTGTACAAAGACGTATTTACACACACAAAACAGCAGCTTGATGCTGATCGTGACTTTCTCTGTTGTGATGGAATGTAGTATACTCCATTACCTGATGTGTTAGTGATTTGTCACTAATAATGTCTGGTATAAATTTAATCATTTGTTATTTTGGGGGTGATTTGGAGGAGTATAATTTAGGGATGGAAAAGAGTAGTTGATTTGTCAACTATCCTATAAGCCTAGGCTTATCGGGTAGTCAAGTCGACTACTTGCATTTTCCCCCACTCCTTGCTGCCTCTGTATCCAAGGCAGCAGTGTGGGGGGCCAGTGCAGGCTGCTCTGGCAGCGGCCCCTGACCACAGGGAGTTGGAACCCCCCATAGACAGGGGCTGCTGGCAGGGGAGGCCTCGGCTTATGGC